AAGTCATATTATTTCAGATGTGGAAATATCTATGAAATTTCTATGGGTGTCCACTGCTTAATTATGAGGGAAAAAAGACAAAGAAGGAAGCACAGCAGAATTGATCGTCTTCTGATAGCTCACTGGCACTTCAGTTTATTTTGAAGGTGCAGCTCTTAATGATTAGTCGTGCTTGGTGGGGAAATTGTTCTTCAAGATCTGAGTTCCAGACCAGAAGACTCCTCAGACAGCTATTAAACTGTTCCTTTCCTTTAAACATCAGAGGGTCTAAGGGATTGTTTGCCAGTAGAGGTTGTATTGGCGCCTGGGAATTTGAGATGGTGACTGAATGAAAACAAAGAAGAATTCCCACAAGACAAATTAAATATGGCCTTAGCTGGATCTCAGCTCCCTTAGACTGCTGCTTGTGATTTCCTACAAGGGAAAACCCTGCTCCAAAAAAATAGTCCAGACTCCACATTTTAAGTGTTGGCTTTCTTTCACTATCTTTACACAATTCTTTCCGTGGGATATCTGAATTGCTCAAGTAGACACTGTTTCAGTTGCTATCAAAGGGTCTTCAGTTCACATATAAGTCCATTTACTTCCTATTCTTGTACTCCCCAGTAATTTTTTGGAAAGGTTTTTTTCCAGAATTGCAGTTACTTTCATTATTTGTGCTTCTGAACTGTACACAAATATTTGTCCTTAATCCTGGTTGACTGACCAACTTATTCTGTTTAAACTTGGCTTGCTTCAAGCAAAACCCCCACACTTCAGTGATTCCAAGAAAAAAGGAACATAACCACAACGTTTCCCCAAAGATTTTGCATACAGCTGATTCACTTGGCCTCAAAGATAATAAATTATGGACAAATTTGGACTGCATCCATGTATTCACCATTTTCTATAATAAAGCTGACTTTTTTTTCTAATCATCTCTGGCAGAGTGTGGAGATGTGTTCAGCCAGCCCAAGTGTGCTGTTGAGCATGTTTGTGGAATGCATAATACCACTTCTTTTGAGATTTGATTATTTTGTCTGACTTGTTTCTAATGCCTAATATTTTCCTGCTATTACAGGAAGGCAGAAATTTTCCTTTTTAGAAAAAGTAAATACTCTTCTTCAGGAGAAACAAACAACTAGAATAATCTTGTTATTAGCAGACAAGAACAATAATGTCTTTATTAAAGCTTTATTAAAGGAGTTGAGAGAAGTCATCCTAATAATTTAATGCCATAGGTTGCTTTGGGGCAACAGGTAAGGTTCCTAGTGAGGGAAGATGACTCTCTCTTCTATCACTTTATCATTTCCACCACAGAAAGCCTCTTCTCTTCTTGTGGCACGTGGTGACATCAAGCACATGTTGTCTGTGCCATAGCATACAAAATCGGTAAGATAATGCTCTCTATCTTCTATAGGCTTGTTAATACAATTGCAATGAACAGTTGAGGTTGTGTGCTTTTGGTACAGTGAGGTTTGGTGCTTTTGGTATCCATTGCTGTGTCTCTGATTTTTACTGTGCAACTCTCCTGCTACATCAGCTGTTAGTAGATGGTAGCTCATAGATTGGCTTTAGCTTGTATTTCTCCATGGTTGCAATTTTTGTAATGCTGAATTTTTCTTTTGTTTTTAAACTAAACTAATCTGATGTATTGGCTGGAAAGTGGCCCTGTGCATGAAAGTGGCACCCTGTTTTAAGTATTTACAACTTGCAAATACCCAGGTTGGGCATCATGCTTAAGATTTTCATGGCCTTGTGTTAGAAAGTCATCATCTTTCCTTCAGGCCTTTAGCATAGGTACACATGTTCCATTATATTTCTGTATGCATTAAGGCTCCTGTAGTGTGGCCCCTGTTTTGCAGACAGAGGGGAAACAAGCTGAGATCTCTGATGTGGTGATCAGTGATGGCACCTGCTGGGCTTCACAGGGTTAAGGAGCTGGCTGGTGTACCTCACAGGCTGCTGCTGCACTCCATTCAGCTGGGCTTGTGGAGTTATTTTAATGTATTTTACTTACTGTATGGTATGAATCATGCAGCAAAGGGTTTTGCTTTTATTACTGAAAACAAATTCTCAGTTAAAACATGAACCCAAAAGAATTTAGACTGTTAAATTGATGTGGCAAGCCATGGAAACTGAGATTAACTCTGACTCGAGGAGCTGCACATAGAGTTTGGGGCAGTGTAAGGGTGTGGGGGCTGCCTGCAGCTCACCATCCTCTGCTCATTGTGAGTTATTCTAACTAGGTTTAAAATCAATGCTCTCTGTTTCCTTCTTCATTTGTAGTTGTCTGGCAATTAGTTTCTATCAGTTCATAGCTTCTGAATTTGAGCAAGAAGATGCCTTGAAAAAAAAACTACTTTATAAAATGGCCCATAATTGTACTCTTGTCTTTTAAGTGGATACAGTAGTAACTAGACTGCTGTGGAAAAAACCAACATTTTGATTAAATCAAATCTAGAAGGCATATGTTCAAAACTAGAGATATTTCCATGTTGCTTTAATAATTAAAAATTTTCCAAGGAAGAGGAATGCAGTCTCCATACTAAGGACATATATTACTGAAACAGAGAGGTGAAATTAGTTACAAGCTCTTTAATTTTAAGGAAAATCTTAAAAATGTTTCTGTGATATTACTTTGACACTCTTGATGCTGCACTATGAGATGCTGTGGAGTTCTTGACTAGTAATTCAAGTCCTTCTCTACTGTGAAATTGGCTGTGATAGGTGATTGATAAAGATAGTACATATGTAATTAATATTCCTTTTTATTTAGGTAAGCATAAATTGCATATGATTTGGGCAGACAAGAAAAAATAACTTGTTACTCCTGTGACCACCTTAATACCAATTATGAAACTTAAGCTTTGCTATTTAAAAAAAAAAAATTAGCAGTTTTCATCTAATGTTTATGACTTCTTTAATGTGTTAGCTTGTTTAGACAACAAACATCACTTTTTTGTTAGGTATCAAAATGAAACTGTTTTCTTGACACAATGAGAGAGCAGTAAGAAATGTTTTTATCAATAAGTGTCACTCTTTCTGCTTGCCTAATTGTAAAGAGGAGAAAGCTGCTATGAACTAGTAACAGCCTGGTTCTACAGAAAAGGTAAATCCTGAATGAGAAGTTTTCCTTGCTCTTGTCCCAGATTAAGTGGGAGGAGAAATGCTTATTTTCAAGTCTGTGTGTGTGGAGTAGCTACTCTAAACAGAAAACCAGACTGCCAATTCTTTTAGCAGTCTAGGAGCTGAATTTCTTCCCTGGCACTTAGAATCATATCAAAGGGACGAATAAGAAATTGTCCTAAATGTAGGGCATTAGGCATATTATCTATGGCATTAAATTAAGTCACTGGACTGTTCAGAGGGTGAGTATTTTTGTCAAATGTATACTGAGATGTGTTTCTGGTATGCTTCAGAAGATGATTTGTGATTTCAGGTGACAGTTAAAAGGTTACTGTTCAGGCTGTTGTAGTTGCACAAACTCTTCCAAGATCAAGGTACATACATTAAAGAATGTGTTTGGGGTATTGGGACTTCTCTTTAGATGAGTTGGAAGCCTTTTGACTGAAACTTTCATGGCTTTGTAACATGTGTTGGAAAACCAGAGGAAAAGCAAAAAGCAAAATATTTCTGAGAAGTTATCCCAACTTCTTGTACATAGAAATCTGTCATGCTGTGACGGCAGTGGTGGTCTGCAGGCTCTCTCTCCCCAGGATGGTGTGGTCCAGGTGGCAGCTGCCTCTCCCAAGAGTTTGGCATGGGAATGGTGGCCTTTCCCGTCCAGCCCCCTGCTTATCCTGCTGAAACTAACCCCCCAGTACTGTTGTGGGTGCTACTGAATATTCCACACTAAAGCTTCACCTCTTTGTTCTCTAACAGTAACACTCACACACAAACACCTCTTTCCCGCCTCCTGGATCCAGAAAACTCTGGGAGAGGAGTTTTGGCACTTTGAAAAATGAGGGGTTTGGCCGGACTGTAAAGAGAAAAGCCTTTAGGTTCTGGCTTTATCCCACTAACCTGTGTTTGTTGCCTATTCAGTACCCCAGAAGCTCATGAGCAGGACAAGCTTTTTTAAGTCCTCTTCCACGTGGCTTTAGGATGTCTAGTAGGTACCTGTAAAAATAATTCTCATACCCCATACTGATGTAAGGTTAGAGCAGAGATATGTTTTCTGTCTTTGGTAGGAGGATGACTGAGAGGAGAGGCATGTGTGGTCCAAGGGGATATTTTAGGCTTGCTGCAAGGTTTCATCATCTGCTAGAAGTTGTTGGGAAAGCACGTGATTAATACTTTTGGAGAAGGGTTGGGGAAGGACAGTTACAGAATACAGCCTGTGTGTGTGTGTATTTTATGTATTAGTGTGTGTTTTTAAGGAAGGGGTAAAAAGTCTGAAATTTTTTGCCTTTTTTATTGTAGCTAAGAAGGGTGCACTTGTTTAGAAGCTTTTTTTTTTTTTTTAAGCTTTTTGTCTGAATTTAAGGAACATCTTGAAAAGGCAGATGCAATTACATCAGAATACAGCTCCCGTTCCACCAGTACTGTTTAGGAATGAAAAAGTAGCTTGGAGATTGGGAAAAAATACACTTAGAGAAGTGAATGCTTGTCAGTTCCATCAGACCAAGAATTGGTAAAGGTCTTTGATACTTGATTATTTAAGAAAACTTTTTGAGGTTAACCCTGCTCACTTACTTAAAATGTACAAGGATCCAGCTGGCAGATTTTTGTCATACATATAATTGAATGCTGATTGATTGATTGATTAATTAAAGCCACCTTGGGCCATGTTATTTTGTTTGTAAAATGACAATGTGCATCTAATCTTGTATGACAAATGTAGTCAAAATAAATTACTTGTTAATCAAAAATTAAAACAGAGGAAATTTATTTTCCTTGAATTATTTGATATTACAAAACTAGTGGGATAGAGATGCACTGGTTCCATGAATTGGAAAGTTTGGAAGTTGCATTGAATGGCTTTTGTTTATCTCCATCCTTCTTATTTTTGTAGGAAATTCCACTTATCTGGATGACCACGGACCACCACCTCAAAAGGTAAGCCACTGTTATTTTTGTATTTGCTTTATCTTTACTTTTTTGGCTTTTGTTTTTAGCTTGTATGTTTACTCATGTGCCAGGCAACTCTGCTGAGTTTACATCAACAGCATGTGGCCTTTCTGACTTTTTCCCCTCAAGTGTTTTCAGATGTTTGTAAGTAACTTGGGTTAAAATGCATTGTGATTAAGCTAATGGAATTTTTCTCACTGGGTCAAGGGGAGGCAGGGATTTAGTGGTTTTGTCTGTCAGCACTTTCATGCAAAAAACCTAGACACTACAGTTGGAACTAATCTGGCAGGTGAAGATAGCCTTTGGCTGGCAGCATTTTCTGAAATGTGTTCTGCTGCAAACACAATACTTGAAGCAGATCAGTAGGATAAATTTAATGAATATGAGTAATGAGCCCTCTTTTAGGAATAAGGTTCACTGCTCCTAGCATATGGGACTGTGCTGCATAAGCTTTTCCTTCATGTCATCATGGCACCTCATGACATTTCAGGTTAGGAAGAGCATCATGATAGTTTCTTCAAGAGGAAAAAAGTGGGAGTAAGCATTTAGGGTCTTGTGGGGGTTTTTTGTTGCTTTTGTCCTGTGTTGGTGTCTCTAAATCGTGTCTCTAAACACAATTTGGTAAAATATTGTGCCTGCCTTTCCAGTCTGTTAGAGCTCCTTTTGCATAGTACAGACACATACTAAAAGGATGGATTATTTTACTGATGTGGCCCACCATGGGTGCTAGAGCAGCAGGTGACAGTGAGTAGTTAGAGTGGGAGTGGGTGTGAATGCCACTACCTCTGGTTGTAGCCCTCCCTCACCTCTGTTCAGCTGGCTGTCAGTCACATCCTGAGCTGTGGGCCTTGAGTTAAAATGATCAACCACATGTGTGCACCTCTGTGGTGAAACAGTTGGCTTCTGGTCAGCACAAGGAGGATAAAGTGGAAAGCAATTCCACTCAGCTTAATTATTAGTGAAAACAGACAGGAATCTGGGTATCTTCACCTTTTTGCTGTGCAACAAAATCTGCAATTTTCAGCTGATACGTGAGTATTTGTACATTGTTAAAGTTTAGGTGATTCACATGGAGGAATAATATACATTTGATTTTCTTCCTGTCAATGCAAATTACTCAATTGCAAAAGCAAATGGACGTAGAGAGAAGTGACAAAATCAACCTGTTATGTTTATCATTGCAAACTGAGATAGGACACGGGTATTCTAAGGCAAAACAAAACTCGCCAAAAGAAAAAAAATCTGTTTAGTACTCTCTGGTTCTTTTAAAATACTTATTATTTCTTTTTTTTATTTCTTTTTTTTTTATTTATTTAGTATTACCTGCTTCTCTTGTCCAGGAGAACAGCAGGCTGCATGAAGTAAAGAATTATTTTTGTTGTGTCTCCACAGTGAGCACTCTGCTTTGAAGAATAAAGCAATGCTTATTCCAAACCTATATTTCTCATGCATGCATTAGCATTCAGAAATGCCAAGCTGTTCTAGTAAGGATAAGGCTTTCATCTAGATAAGAGTTTTTAACCTTGAAAACTTTATTCAGATTTTGGTACTTTTTCTTCTGGAATTTTGCTTTACCAATTAATGGTGCTGTGGATGGGATCCATACTCCAGTGGGCAGTATGAATTGGACAGATTTATTCAATCCATTCACTTTTCTGTTTACATTGTGAAAATATCTTTTGCTTGTCTAAACATGTAATTTTAGGCTATGTTCACACAGCCTCATCCAGCTGCAGCTCAGCTTTCTGTAGAGAGGCCAGCTCAATAGATATCTACATAATTGATTGGTTGGGTAGGTACTCTTTGATTAGCTACCTACAGTCAGTAAAGTTTTTGGGCTTCCTCTGTAATCATCCTCACTCCTGAAAGCTTAGTAAAAAGCTCAACAGAGTAACAGGCTATTATATAGCCTGTTTATACACATATATATACACACACATATATACATATATGATATATATGTATGTATATTATTTATATATTATATATATATCATATATATATTATATAGCCTTGTGTAAGTTTAAAGTATTTTATTTTTTGAAGTATTTGCCTGTGTTTCAAACGCATTGATAAAATATGGATCATTTTGATCATCCCTTCGACAAACCTGCTTATTCCTTAGTGATTTGAGGTTTTTTGTTTTGTTTTTTATTCCTCTAAGCAAGACATGGGTGTGGAGATTGATAGATCCCCAGATAATTCCTGGTATTTGCTTGGGGTCATGTTTTGAACTGAGATGCTCGTGCTTTTTAAATCTCATGCATTGCATTTTTGGCTACGTGCAGTTATTTACCCCCTTAGAGCTTCATATCTGAACTGTGAACTCTGTGGGTGTGAGTGAAATTCACTGTAATTGCCATTATGTTTCAAGTAGCCTCCATTCACATGGCTTGATAGCTGCCTTCATTTAAACTAACAGATGGTTAAGGTCTATGCATGCTTTAATTCAGCATATAAAAATGCATCAGAAGAAATCAATCCTGACTCCAACATTTAAAATATTTTATTATAAAATGCGTAAAAGCTAGAAGTGGAGATAATGAACAACAATGCACTGCCTGAGGTTGAAATGACTGGTAGCTAATATGAGCAGTGTGTAGTAAGCTGTAGAGGAAGGCCACCAGCAGTTGATACGCACTGGACCGTAGCTGTTTTGCAGAGTACATTCCAGTGTCTGTAGGAAATCATATTAGTTTTGGCTCTTTGTCATGGCTAGGTGCCAGAGCTTTGAATTTTTTTAAATACCTGTGTGGGGTTTTTTTTCCCCCAGTGGAAGGATTGGAAATAGCACTTGTTCTCTGAGTAAGGAATTAGCATCATCACATTTCAGGAGATCAGGGTACTGGTCTGGTTTTTTTCAAATAAAGGTGTCAGCACAATTTTCTCAGTGCAAGTAAAGAATGAAAGCCTGGCTCATTTCTGTACCTAAGCACCGGTGGTGTGGTTTTGATTCTCCTTGAAGACCAGGTGAGCCAGCTTTTAAGGTGTTCCCCCACTACAGGTTTACTTGACTGTTGAAGATTAGCAGTGGTTACCCTTGCCAATGATATGAAGGTAATGTGTCTAGGTGTGGTGGTTTGACCCTGGCTGGAGGCCAGGCACCCACCAAAGCCTCTCTATCTCTCCCATCCTCAACTAGACAGGAGAGAGAAAATATAGCAGAAGATGAGATCATGAGATAGGGACAAGCAGAGATCACTCACTAATTATAGTCACAGGCAAAAATATTCAACTTGGAGCAATTAATTGAATTTACTGACAATCAAAATCAGAGTAGGATAATGAGAAGTAAAGCAAATCTTAAAACACTTTTCCCCCACCTCTCCTTCCTTCCAAGTTTAACTTTATTCCCAATTGTCTGCCTCCTCCCCACCAGCAGCACAGGGAAACAGGGAATGGGCATTTGTGATCATGTATTGTTTCTGCCTCTGCTTCTTCCTCTCCAGTGCAGGATCCCTTCTGTGGGAGACAGTTTTTCCCAAGTTTGTCCAGTGTGAGTCCTTACAACAGGCTTCAGTTCTTCATGATCTGCTCGAATGTGGATCCCTTCCACAGGGTGCAGGCCTTGGGTAGCAGGCTGATCCAGCCAGCATGGGTCCCCCATGGATTCATTAAGTCCTGCTGAGAAACATGCTCTAATGTGGGCTCTTCTCTCCATGAGTCAACATGTCCTTTCAGGAGCCTGCTTCTCCATGGGCTACAGGTGGATCTGTGCTCCTCTGTGGACCTCCATGGGCTGCAGGGGCTTCACAGTGGACTGCAGGGGAATCTCATTTTGGGTACCTGGAGCACCTCCTCCCTCTCTTTCTTCACTCACCTGTGTGTTTGCAGGGTTATTCCTCTCACATATTCTCATGCCTCTTTTCTCTGGCCACAAATTAGTTTTGCACAAAAACATTTTTTCCTTCTTAAAAGTATGTTATCTCAGAGGCAATACTACCATTCCTGATTGGCCTTGGACAGCAGTGGGTCTGTCCAGGAGCCAGCTGGTGTTGCTTTTGTTGGACATGGGGAAAACTTCTGACAGCTTCTCACAGAAGCCATTCCTGTAATCCCCTCTGCAGCAGCAGAACTTTGCCATGTAAACCCAATACACAAACATAGGCCACTCAACTTTGGTCCTTAGGCACCAAAGACTTCACAAGATTGACTAATCTTAGATTTTTCATGAGTTCTGAGACAGATTCTGTGTGTGTTTCTCTGCAGGTAGATGCAACCTCCAGTAGCCCTAGCAGTGATATTAGTATATGATAGATATAAAAGGAATACAGTTGAGAAAAACAACCACTGCTGGTGTTTCTGCACTGTTGACTCTTTCCTATTTCAAATCTCTCTCTCACTCCCTCCTGGCTTTTTTTAAAATAAGCATCTGAAAAGGTGAATTTTAAGATTTCCAAAGTGATCATTTGTTTATCCTTTTCCTGTAGATTGGTGCTTAAGTGATGCCTTTAAGATTATGCTAGCTTGGTTTTTACAAACACTTTTGAAATGGATGTTCACTAGTGGCTGATTGTGTTCGCTTAATATATTTCATGTCTGAGCATTTCTGCAAATAAAGTGGGTCTATTTTGTTCCACTGTTTGGACCAGCTATTTCCTTATCAAATCTTCCCAAGGATTTTTTTGTTCTATCCAAGATGGTGAAACTGGCCTTGGAGGACAAGTGATACAAACTTTATCTGACCTACTGTTGTTTTTAATTGAAAGCTTTTCCATGAGAACTTGGCAAGAGCCTCAAGTTATGTCCCTCTTTCAGTAGCGATGACATATATATTTGTGGGGGAGATGTGCATATGGCTTACAGATAAATTACAGTGAAGTAATCTATTCTCCTTTTCTTGATGGTTTTCCCTTAGGATGCCTGTCATGGACCCAGTGTCTTTTGGCAGCTGTTCAGGTGTTAGCAAGATGCTATGCTTAGCATGTGTGACAGTGCTTTAAATGAATACAGAAATGGATGGGGGTAAGGATGAGGTCAAAATCAAT